TATCGATGATTAGATTACCGAAGGCCGACTGATACATATAGCGACTATCAAAGCAATGCGCACTTTGCTTGCACTTTGAATTACGCCTACCTAGTTTTCTGGGCCCAAGTTGGCTCTTTAGCAAGTTTCATTTCTACGAGAGTGACAACCGCTTGCTTCATTGTCACCACCACGTGACGCTACAATAGGTCTCAGAAGTTTCTAGGTTGCACAGGTGAGTCTCACGTTAGAGAATATAGAAATAACGAACCGTCTACGCCAGCAGATAAGAAGATTAAGAAAAGTGATAGCAGCTTTATGCATTCAACGTAAGCCTATATACAAAACATTCCACAATAGCGTCGTTACCAGCGTTGTTGCTGCTGTGCATCGGTGACCCGGTTTTCAAAACGGTCTTTTTTTGGACAAGCTGAAGCTGCACACTGGTATTTGTGCCATCGTACAAACGCTTTTAATTGCAAATTTATGCATTTCTTAGTCAGGCTACGTGAGGCGTCCGTCGGAGTCCATCCACCGTCCTCTCCCATAGCAACAGTTTCGGGCGCGTGCGCTTATCGTCGCCTCTAGCAACCGGGGCATGTGGTGCGAGAGAGTGTAGGAGAGGGTAGGTGCAGTGCAAGGAGGTTTGAAAAAATTGCAGGAGTAGAAATTCTTGCCCACGAGTGAAGCCTTGCGAGTACACTGTAGCCGTGCCAACCGTAAGATGGCGGCTGTGGCAGCCATCTTGCTAGGGGCATGATGAGTGATTTCCTCGCACGCTCAACGAGCCTAATGTGGCAATTAACTTTTTCGGGACAGATAGTGTTCAAAGTGCGTCCTTGTGTTTCTATCTTCTTTAGTAAGCCTTGAATTCGAGGTAGATTTTATTGGAAATTAAGTGACCGATACTAGTCTCTGCGGATTATTTCTTTGGAACAATTATATTTTTTAACGTATCCTTTAGACTAACAAATCAAAGCCACTTGATGTCTAATTGCGCACCACCAGAAAATATCGTGTTTCTGAGATATTTGGGGGGGGGGAAGCCGGCTTTTTTACTACTGGTAAAGCATTGCAGGAGCACTTCCACTCCAGCAATTTTTTTTAAACATCCTTGGTGTGTGTGCTTCACCGCTCCTTTTCTCGCCGTTCGCTCTCCTCTCTGTGCCCCACTTTCCCGTCCGTCTACGTATACGCCTCAATCTCGACCGTTCGCTAGCTGGGCGCCTCTCAAGAACAACCGGAAATGTGGAAACTTGTGCTCGAGACGCCGTCGTCAAACGCCAACGCCAAGTCGAGAACGCTGTTTAATCGTGCACGATATACTACTAGAGCTGGAAACGCATACCGTGTTTCTCGAGACAGAAAAAAAAAAAAAAAACAGCTTGGCTGCATGGTGTAAGAAAAGAAACAAAAAGGATACATCATTCTTCTAACGCTGGGTTCTCACGCGCGAAACGCCGTTATAGATGGACCGCTATGAAATGCATTCGCATTTCCTCAGGATTCCCTTCGTAGAGGTGGAGGCATTTTTTTTTATTATTGAAGCTCAGGTGAGATGGCAATCCGCTAGCCTAACTGCATGGTCAGCAAGCTCAGGCAGTCACTCACTTATTACAGAAATTACAAGCAAGAACCGCTGTCAGCGATCGAACGGTCTGCAGAGCTGTCCGGTTAAGCATCTAAAGCAAATCATAATAGTTCTTAGGATGTAAACTACTTTACCTTGGGACAAAGCTTTTGAGATACCAACGAACACGTCATTAAAATAAAACTGGGCACATTTAAGAAATTTCCAAGCCGTTTTCTTTTTTAAATACGCGTTAGCTACTTGATCATCGTGGTCTATAACAAGAAATTAGCTAATGTATCTAAGTATTTTAAGATACAATTGGCAAGTACCAGTATCGGATGCAATTTTGTGGCAGGTATCTTGCATCTGGACCCGAGTATCTTGTATCGTATCGCTGATACAATTTCAAAGTATCTTTGCCCGGATTTGGTCTCATCTGACTACATCTACTGAAAGATGGAGGACAGATTGTGTTAGAAAAACTAGCCACCCTGTTTACGAGGTGTCTCCGAACGCGAAGAGTACCAGAGTCTTAGAAGAACGCTAACATCATCTTAATACATAAGAAAGGAGATGACAAGGACTTGAAGAATTACACTCTTGCTCTCTGAAGGACTTGCTCTCTGAAGTATACAAGCTATTTACAAAAGTAATGGCTAACAGAGTAAAGAAAACATTAGAATTCAATCAACCAAAGGATCAAGCAGGATTTCGAACAGGCTACTCAACAATCGACCACATTCATACTATCAATCAGGTAATAGGGAAATGCTCAGAATATAACCAACCACTATACATAGCCTTTCATAGATTACGAGAAGGCGTTTGATTCAGTAGAAATATCAGCCGTCATGCAGACACTGCGGAATTAGGGCGTCGATGAAGTACATATAGACATCCTGGAAGAAATCTACAGGGGATCAACTGCTACCATAGTGCTTCATAAAGAAAGCAACAGAATACCAATCAAGAAGGGTGTAAGGCAGGGGGACACAATCTCCCCAATGCTATTTACCACGTGCTTACAGGAGGTTTTTAGAAGCCTAGAATGGGAACAATTAGGGATATAAGTTAATGGAGAGTACTTAGTAACCTGCGCTTCGCCGATGACATTGCATTGCTGAGTAACTCAGGGGATGAATAGCAACTCATGATTACGGAGTTAGACAAGGAGAGCAGAAAGGTAGGTCTTAAAATGAATCTGCAGAAAACGAAAGTAATGTACAAGAACCTCGGAATAGAGCAGCGCTTCGAGATAGGTAATAGTGCACTTCAAGTTGTAAAAGACTATGTCTACTTAGGGCAGGTAATAACCGCGGAGCCGAACCACGAGATTGAAGTAACTAGAAGAATAAGAATGGGGTGGAGCACATTTGGCAAGCACTCTCAAATTATGACAGGTAGATTGCCACTATCCCTAAAGAGACAGGTATATAACAGCTGTATCTTGCCGGTACTTAGCTACGGAGCAGAAACCTGGAGACTTACGAAGAGGGTTCAGCTTAAATTGAGGACGATGCAGCGAGCAATGGAAAGAAAAATGGCAGGTGTAACCTTAAGAGACAAGAATAGAGCAGAGTGGATTAGGGAACAATCGGGGGTTAAGGATATCATAGCTGAATTCAAGAAGAATAAATAGACATAGGCCGGGCATGTAGCGCGTAGACAGAATAACCGCTGGTCGTTAAGGGTAACTAACTAGATTCCCAGAGAAGGAAAGCGGGTTAGGGAGAGACAAAAGGTTAGGTGGGCAGATGAGATTGAGAAGTCTGCGGGTATATATTGGCAGCAGCAAGCACAGGACTGGGTTAACTGGCGGAACATGGGAGAGGCAAATTTGTCTTGTCTTGTCTCCTCGGAGATCTTAGCTCATACCCACATGGAGGATTGGCCACACTGTACCTCATAATAGATTATTTTTTACAACGCAAAAAAAAAAAAAATTAGATAGGAACAATAATAATGTTCCTTTGAAAAAACGTGAAAAATTGCAGAAGAATGCGATAAACCAGATTATATAAAACAAATTAACAAGAACGAGGAAGGGGGAGAAAGAATTGGATATATCTGGCAGTACCACTAGCAGCGTATCCTTCCGGTTGCCTGAATGAATTTATGTAGCGCTGACAGAATAGCACTGCGGCCCACACCCAACTGACTGGCTCCAAACGATAATAGGGTGGATGTATTGACTGGCAATCCGAGCATACCAATCGGTCCTTCAAGAATTATTCGGCGCAGTGAGGCGAAACGGCGGCATGTGAGAAGAAAGTGATCTATTGTTTCCGGTTCATTGCAACTACACATAGGTTAGTTTATGAAAATCCTGATTTGTTGAGATAAAAGTTTAACAGAGGCACTCTACAGCGAAAGCTTGTGAGGGTCACCTCACATTGACGGGAAAGGCATTTTGTGGTGTTCCATGTGAATTGCAAGTGGCGAAATTCTTCAGATTGTAGAAGCGACGTTTCGTTGATTTTTACACAGACAAAGCATACAGACAAAGCATCCGAATACACTGATACAGACAAAGCATCCGAAATAATAATAGCTTTTGATTGCTGATAATTTAGTTTTCGAAGAGCCAATGTAATAGCCAGGAATTCTGCGAGATAAATTGGTGTGAAGTCAGGCAATCGGAGCGCAAAAGACCAATTAAGCTGATGAGAAAAAATACCTACTCCAGCCTTCTGAAGATTTTGCGTTGCGTCCGTCGAAATCACTACGTATTTAGGAAAATGACTGAGATGGTCTTGAAGGAGGCCCTCCAGAACATGCTTTGGAAGTAACTTGGCATTTTTCGAAAAAATATCATCGAAAATTAAGTCAACTGGCACCGAGCATTGGGTTTGGGGGGTTAAATGCCGTAGGGAAACGTGAAGATTTGATAACAGAGACTCGACGAAAATGACTTGGGGTCTTTGATAACGAAACCACGGGCGCTGAAAGAAAGAAACTGGATGTTGGATGAAAACTGTCTGTGACCAGTCCTGCAGTGGACGTAGTCAGGCTGATGATGATGACTACATCATGAAAGTGATGGAGTCGCAATTTTCTAATTTCAAAAACTTTGAATGTTCGTGCTGCCATTATCATGTGAGCTACAAACAATAGCACTAAGCTGAACGCGAGCTCGCTATAGCGAAAACCGCGAATAACGATGAAACTTAAAATTACCACTGGATGATGGGGCATCAAAATTGGTGAAAGCGATGTAAATTACATGCCTATCAATTGCTGGCACACCGGCAAAGTCGCCGGCCTCGGCCCAACGTTTATGGATACTCAATAAACGTTGCCTCAGCCAGCGGCGACGCACACCAAAAACACGCCAGCGTTGTCATTGGCTACCGCCTGCCGAGATAAATGTTTGTTTTCCGGCTGCGCGGATAACAGCTGCGCAACACCAAGCCACACTTCAAGCCGTCCATATCCAAATCCGCAGAAGGAAAAAAAATATGGCGAGTTGTTTGTTGTCCCCGCACGACACAGTTTCCGCACGTCTGTAGGTCTTTCATAACGGTAGAGGTAGCAGTTTTTCGGAGCGTAACTAAAGCATGCACGTGGCTCGGCCCAGTAATCGCGACAACACCACGTGAGTGCCGGCGACCATGCAGTGCGCAGTGACGAAAGGTGCGAAGCCACCACCAGCGCAGTGAGAAGAGCATCGGGAGATGGTGTGACGACGATCCGCTAGCGGAGCAAGCGTCGCTGGGTTTATTGTCGCCGCGTTCCTAACCGAAGGCTCGGCAGCGCGCGCTCGTCATGTTCTCGTACGCGTACCGAATACGGTGCCTGCAGAAACTGCATTCGGAAGCGTTTATGGGTCTGAACGCCGTGTGCTTGCCGGACTGCCTGCCCGCCGGCGCCGTCTACCGATCGAGCCTTCCAGCGACGCCCGTGTCGACGCCGATCCGCGAGAGCTGGATCTTCTCGGAGCAGCAGCTTCGCGATCGTCTCTGCAAGACCCCTTCCCCTAGAAAGTGTCGCTTCTTCGACCCTAGGCGCTCCGAGTCCGGCCTCAACAGCTTCGACAACTGAGTGGCTCGACTCGGCTCGCCGGAAGATGGAGACCGCCATGGAAGACGACAAGTCGGACGAAACGAGTCCCGAGGACGCGGACAGCGTCAAGGAGAACGAGACCTTCTACCAGAAGAAACTTTTCGTTGGCAACATCAGTTATCGGGTAAGTGCCCCTGTGCTGGCACCCAAGCGCATGTTTTGTTGGCCCGCCCCTCCCCGTACACATTTTTGATGATGTTTACACTCGCTTGGACGCTTGCCAGATGCATCTTTCTCCTTTCGCCGATTTCGAAACCACGCGCCGCTATTTTAATCCTTTGTTTTTGGTCTCTTCGACAGGTTTCTTGTCTTTCGATTGCATTTTAGTACTTGCCTAAAGCGCCCGAAAGACAGACGGTCTGTGTTTGAATGTAGTGTAGGAAGCGAGACGTGTCCTTCACTCATGCGTTGTGTGCGTTGCGAAAAAGTTCGCTTGTGACTTTCTCTGGCTGTGTCCGAATTAAGGGTAATCGGTGTTGTCTTCTGCCGATACGTTTACGACTAACGCGAAACCACGGCAAGCGAGACCCCTTCATCCGTTGCTGGCGACCCGTTTTGCGATGATGAGGATGCGCGCCGACTTTGCACAGATTACGTGAACGCCGATAAGGCACTGTCAAAAAAAAAAAAAGTTCTCTCAACCGCTCCATTCTGGTGTCCTCTTTTACCTGTTCTCTTCGTGTTGTGTCTTTTTGCCGAGAGTTTGTTGGCCGCATGAGTTGTCAGTGACGGCAAATGTTGACGCAACGACGCTTTGAGTTTGCTCGCGAGACGCTGCTGTTTAGTTTTGGCAAAAGTGGCACATCAGCCTCACTGATAATCCACGAGTGCTCTCGTGTGTTTAAGACCATGTGCTGCCTCCCGCATCAATCGGTGGTTGGTTTTGTGTTTATCCCGCTCAGCATTGTGTCTGGCTGTTCCTAATGGATGTTATTTGCTGTGAATGACGTAGCATAATTTTTTTTCCCATCTTTTCCTTGCCTCAGGTTACGAAGCGTCAGCTGGCTAACTTCTTAAGCAAGTTTGGGAAAGTTGTGGACTGCACCATTGTGCAGGACCACATCAAACGATGGCCCAAAGGGTGAGTTATTTTTACTTTTTCACAAATATTACATAGAATGAAAGTAGTTAGCACATCATTGAGTGCAAGGTTCTGAAGAAACTTAGTACAGTAACTGTTTCATGCAATAATTATGGGAGTCGAAATACAACTTTGGTATCACGTGCTGTTTAACCAGTGCACATACATTCTTATCATCGTTATATTTACATGTTTCTTCCAATGTGTTATAAACACCATTGAAAATTTCATATTAAAAATATTGTTTTTGACTCCTTTTCATAGCAGTATTGAGAGGGCCTGCATGCTCAGGATGTCCTGTGAGAGTGTTTTGCTTTCGTATTGTTTTGCTCACATTACCCATGATAATAGGCTGTGTCATTGCATACACCGTCTATAATTTATCAAATGCAGAGGCGTGTGCAATGTCTCAGACTATTAATTGGTCAACTCTCATTGTAAGCATTTCTCAGTGATTTCCTAGCAGGTTTGATGATATTGCATGCAATGATACATTCAAGCATGCATCACTAGCTGTCGGGAGTAGAATACAGTTTGCCGTGTCTCACAAGTATTGTTCAGAGTGGCCGTAGTTTCAAAGTCACAGCCTATAAACTAATAAGGTATTTTCACTAATGTGAAGAATGGACATATACAGACTATGTATCACGCAATCGCAAGCTGCTGATATTGTACCCAGGTAAGCTGTGGTACCTGTGCCGACGGCATCCCTGTAGGACTTTTGATGGATTAGGCAGCCATTCGATGTAGTACTTTGAAAATATTGGTAATGAAATGTGGCATTGAATAAAGATATTACGTTGGTTTGTTTAATTCCGTGCTTCCTCGAGTATGCAGCTTCCAATAACACAGTTATTCTGTAGAGTTTTGAGTACATTGACTTAGTTAATTCTTTCTATAAGTCGGCCTGTGCAAGAAATTCCCTCTTGTTTGACTGTCTGTTCCTAAAACTTGTTTCTGCCATATTCTGTAGCTAAATCATGTTTTGAACATGCTACTTCCTATTCTACTTGGAACAGCAGTGTTAGTTAAAGAAAGGTAAACCTAAGATGTTGTAAAAGAGGGCAGTTGATTGTCCTTGCCTTGTCCGCACCATGCCACAATTACTGCTTGTGCCCCGCTTCCAATGCCTAATAGCTAAGTTACCAGTAAAATTGATTCGGTCATTTCGTTCCATTTGTGCCTTCCATTAAAAGTTAGATTTGGTACAATTAGATTTTAGAGGACATGCAATAGGAGATACCTTGCTTTTGCTTTGAAAATTTATTTAGCCTGTTATGACACCAAACATTTTCATACATGGTATATGTTTCACGTTAAAGGAGTGCCAACTTGTCTTTTCAATGTTCAACTTCGTGATTCGAGATACACTTTGAATTGACATAGATGTTAGCACATAGTGAAAGCACTTGACAGCACTTTAGACAAAGATAAAGCAGTGGAATCCAGATCATTGCATTTGTCTCATTCCTATTTTTATACGGTTTAATACTGCATCATATATTTTGCTTATAACCCACTCCTGCCTATTACCTGCCTTATTAATATTAGCTATACAAAAAAAACATATATATGCTTAAAACACACCCTCTGCTTTTTAAGCAACTTTTCAGTTTTTTTGGGGGGGGGGGGGAGAAGGGGATATATGCGAGGAAATATAGTAGGTCAACTTTTTTTGCCACCCAGAATAAGATTTCTTTTTTCTTTTGTAGCCTGAGTAGCGCATGAAGATATTTCGTGTCTCAGAAATTAAGAAACTCTATTATACAGCTATCAATGTGTCATTCCACACCACTTGGCGTTTCAAATTCAGCTATTTCTTTTGCAGGCTAGTTGCGACACCAAATGCGCAGGCTTGTATGAGTGTTTACAATGTTGAAAGCTGACCACAAGTCATCCAACATTACACATTTCACTGATCGAACTTAGCACGTAGCTTTAACAGCATTGTACGTGATGTAAAGCATCGATTCATGCCGTCTCGTGCTTTTGACACTTTACATCTTGCAGTCCCTACGAAATAGGCTGGCTTGCCTCAAATCACGCCGAATATTTTAGTATAATAGCATTCTTATAAATCATTTTTTGTTACCCAGAAGGTGTGTGTGTGTTTTAATGTGGAATGTGGTAAATTGTCGTACAAGGAAGGGCACTGGAGTCTGTGTGTTGACAAAGAGGCAAAAGCGATATTTTTTTTGTGAAAAAAAAAATTGGCCTCAGAGACAATTTTTGATCGATAATGTGTCACAACTTAGAGCCTCCATTTCACCCTTAACTTCCATCTTGCTTGGACATTCATTCCAGAAGATGGTAAAAGGGAGTGGAATGTTTTAGTGTCTGGACGTTTGTTTTTGGGCCAGCCCAGTTGTTTGCCGAGCTGCCACTTATGCAGCTTCGTGTAGCAGCTAAGAATGCAGGAGCACACGCCAATACGTTTTGACTGTCCTGCTTCCTAACCTACACGCTCTCGATCAAGCTGCATTGCTGGACAGGACCAAAAAAAAAAAAACAAAAAAAAAGAAGAAGATGGGTTAGTGTAGGTTTACAACTGAGGTCATTGAAAACACGTGCATGTGCTTGCTTCTACTGGAGACACAACTGAAACTGGTTGTGGAAAAGCCAGCACAGTGAACATGCGGGGGGGAGGGGCACTCTGAGGCTTCTTAGTATTTTCTATAGTTGTTTAGTTTTGTGGGATAAAACAAACTAACAAAAACAAAAGTTGAAGCACCTATATCTGTTGCAAAATAATGTCATGTTACTTTCACACGACCCAGACAAAAGTTTATTTTCTTAGTGAAAAAAAAAAAGGGTAATGTATGTACGAATGCAAGAAAATGCCTGTACATGTGCTTTTTGTCTTTTGAACCTGTACTTTTTCATTTCAAAAAGCAAAGCTGTCTCGTATCTTGGTGCATCTTGTGAAACCGTTGACGTTGCCCAATAGAACCCTGTGATTCACAGGCAGGGTGTCACGCCTTCAAGGGAAATACCTCATCAGTGTGTGAGCTGAAAGATATTGAGTATTCACTTTTATTCACATCGAAATATATTTATTATATGATGCTGAATGATATCAACCAATGACAGAACTGCTTTTAAAATCCTATGCTGAATATCCTCCCTTGGATACCCCTCAGATGTATCTTAAATTTGGCTGACCCTGCAGATCATGCACCACAATAAATAGTTATTTCAGTACTCAGCATGGTTGGGAACCGTGTTCAAGTGCTTAGTTTTTGAAATGTGAGATTGTTACGAGAAACATGCGCTTGTGAGATAATGTGCAGTGCACAAAAGTAGTTTTTTTTTTTGTCGTAGTTTCACATACTTCAGCACATCCCGGTTCAGTAGGTAAATGCACACAGTTCGTGTTGTGACGTTCATTTAGAAAAGGTTGAACTGTGATTACATATTTAAACCAGGGATAAATTAAAGTGTGGATAGGCAGGAAGCGAAACAAATTAGAAAGTTTGTTCTGTGTCATTACGGGCTGGAGTGGCATGCGATCCACTCCGCATTATTTCTGTGTATAGACTTTCAATTATAAGTTAAGAGTATTTTACAAATGGAGACGGATGTAGCAATTGGATAATAGTATATTCGGGTAGTGTCGGAAACATTCTTGCTTAACTTTATGCCAATACATGTTTGGTAGAACAGAAGTGATGACAGATGTTCACTTTGCCATGAGGGAGTTTTCAGGTTTTTCTTCTTTTCTTTCTTGCCCTGTTACAGTGATCTAGTAGGTAGAAACTCTGTTGCTGACCTGCAGTTTGTGGGATCAAATCCAGGCTGAAGCGGCTACATTTTAGATGGAGGCAGTAGTTTGGTTACCCAACACGCCCCGCCGTGGTCGTCTAGTGGCTAAGGTACTCGGCTACTGACCCGCAGGTTGCGGGATCGAATCCCGACTGCGGCGGCTGCATTTTTGATGGAGGTGAAAATGCTGTAGGCCCGTTTGCTCAGATTTGGGTGCACGTTAAGAAGCCCCAGGTGCTTGAACTTTCCGGAGCCCTCCTCTACGGCGTCTCTCATATTCATATTGTAGTTTTGGGACGTTAAACCCTACATATCAAATCAATCAATCTTTATTTATCTATTAGTTTAATAAGAACAACCACTAAATTGTCCAAGGAGACATGCCTAAAGGCAAACATTGCCTGACTGGGCCGTGCCACCCATCCACAAAAACACAGGGTTTTATAAATATGTTTTTACTTGAATGTCCTCTTTCATTTAAGTTGCACAACTTCAACACAACTCTCACTGTCACCCTTTGGCATGCAGGTATGGTTTTGTGACATTTTCCAAGGTCGAAGAGGCCGAAAAAGCTAGGAATACTCCCCCCGACCAGTTGGAGCTTGATGGCAGGTAAGTGGGAGTGCTCGTTGTTCTTCTCGTATTCTCCTGAACCTTTATTGCAGTGGCTCTTGAAGTATGAAGTAATATGTTTTGTTGTGTGCGGAATGTTGGGATTTCGATGCAGAAAATCAAGTAGTAAAAATGTATGGTTTTTTCCTAATTCTCCTAAAATCAATGGTATGACAGTAAAGCTATAACTAAATGCACATGCTTTTCTTGCGACAGGGACAAGCGGCAGCAACAAGCTTGCTTCGCCGCGCCAACACGTTGCGACGGCGGTAAACGCATGTTGGAGACAAAGTGTCATTGTTGCTTGAATGAAAAACTATCGCATGCATACCCATAAATTGCGAAATAGAAATTTAAAAGCTGGTCGATGACAACCTGCCAAATTTATTACTGTCTTCTGTGACATAAAGAAGCCACGAAAGCTTTTCCCGAACCCTCTTTTTTCACGCTCTTTGGTTTAACCACGAAAAGCTTCCCAGAAGCGTACGCTATCGACGGCTGCGACGCCCTTCGCACGATGATTTCTCATTGTAGCAACCAACCAAATTTCCGCTTGCTACAATGCATTGAAACATCAAAACAAACCATCGATAACGAGATTTAAGACAAAATATGGCCGCTTTCTCACTCTACGCATGAGATGAGAATGCAAAATGGGTCGTAGACACCTTGCATTCCTTGAAGTAGGCAGTGGACTAACAAGCATCGAAAGCAAATTGCAATCGAAGTGAGGACCAAGGGGGCAGCCATCTTGCTGGAAATCTCCACACTGGCTTCCAGGCGACAAGCAATCTTTTCTAGTTTTCCAGAATCGTGCGACGCGACAAGCGGCGCTGACGAATGGGCCTCTGCGACAACAAATCTTGGTGCTTGTTGCTGTTTTGTCACTGTCGCAAGGGTAATCGCGTGCATGCGGTTAATGCAAAACTTGAACTAAGTGAGGCACTATTTATCACTAAAAATGGTGCTGGACCAAGCCAGTTTGTACCCGAATAGCTCGGCTAGACTACGACATACAAACTCTCAACTGCAGCACTTGGCTTCTTCTGTTGTGTCATATAAGAACCTCAGTCACATTGGAGTTTTGTCAATCCCTAAACTTTGTTAGTGAAAAACTGGTAAAATTAACGTGGGGTAACCTGCACCATCCGAAGGTACAACGGTTTTAAAGCCATTTTAAACATAAGATAGATGAGGTGGCAAGACTCGTAGATTATCTCTTGGGTTAGCCAACCAAGAAAAGGAAAAGCATTGTATGCTTATGGCTGCTGGATGAAAAAGCGCACGGTACGGCCTGGCACTTCGAGCGGCTTTCAATGGGAGAGCTCGTGTCAGCCGTAGTTGCAGTTGCGGCCGCTGCAGCGCGACGAGGCGGGAACAGGAGGGACAGGGAAACGAGTGGCGGTGTCTCTTTCGGGGCAGCAGTCTCAGCAAATTAGCAGGTGGTTGTCACAATAGTGACCCACTCAGTTGTTCTAATCGGTGTTTTTTTTTAATCTCATTTATTGCAGTGATGACGTATCGCGTATATAGTAGAGTACGTAGGCACTAGTTTGAATTGAATTTTCAGTGTGCGTGCCGAGCACCTGACTTTTTTTTTTCTCCAGAACCAGCTTCTTGCTTTGAGGCTGAAAGAAAGATCTACAGTGCATGTGGCTAAATTATATGGCACTGAACGCGTGACAAAGTCATGGTTCTGTTTGTGAAGATGTGATTCAGCACCCTCACGTTTTTTCAACCAGAATTCTTGACAACTAATTTTCAGGAAACTTGGTAATATATGTTCATAGCTTTTATATGCTGAAAGCGTGTGAAAGAGACATGATTTGAATACTTTCCATGTTATTCATGGAAAGTAATTCAGCTTCAAACGCTGGATAAAAGTGGTTTCTACAAACATGGTGACGCTGTCCTTGTAACTTTATTGAAGATGCTGCGAAAGTATACATCATTAGAAGTGGCGTTCAAATATCTTGATAGTTCATACTAGGCAAAATATATATATATATATATATAGTGTGAGCGCAGTCACCGACTCTTCTTTATCAATTGGACGTGTCATCATCATTTGTATAATTTCCTCATCTGTAGATATCATCATCAGTGTGTGTGCCAGCTCGAGCTCGCCTCGAATAAAGCTCTTCCTCATTCAGAACATTGGAGGCGGGTTGCAGAGGCGACACGGAACGGCGATTGGAAGATGGTGAGCGGCGGCGAGAATCGCAGGAGTTCACAGGCAGACCACTACTGTAAGGTGGAGAGGGCGAACGCTGAAAAGAAGACCGGTAAGGCGTGCGCTGGTAGTTCGTGAGTGGACTGAAGCGTCCGCGTTCCTCTGGAGCGTAGCCACGTTGCTCTTCCTGTTGACGCCTTCGGCGAAAGCGAGAAATATGACCCTTATAGCCGCAATAATAACACATTGGGCGTTGAGGACGTCGGCATGGCGTAATACGGCTGTGGGTGCATCGGTGGTGACACTGACGCCACAGGTACATGGCCACCTGGTGTAGCCGCTGTGATAGTGGTGGGTGTTGAGAGCGCCGCGACTTCTGCGTACGTTGGTACCTGACGAGGTCTGGATTCGGCGGAACAAGGTGAATGTGACGCAGATGCTATCTCTTGACTAATGATGTCCCGCAAGTTGGTTGGAGCTGAGGCTAAAGTAGACGGTGGGGCGCAGGAAGAGCAGCGCCATGAAGCTCCTCACGAACGATGTCGCGGACCAGGGCACGGATGTCGAGGGCCGCAGGAAGACGAATGTCCGAGGCATCATGGCAAAGACGAAGAGACTGAACTTGTTCTAGTCTCTGGCAAATGGTGACGACATCTTGAGTCGTGGTATGGTTTAGCGACGCAAGGGCATTGAATGCGAAGGTATTTATGCCTTTGATAATATGGCGTATTTGTTCGCTTTAGGCATAGCTGAATTTACACGCTTGCACAAGGCAAGAACATCCTCAATGTACGAGGTGTATGATTCACCCACTAGCTGAATGCGTTCAGCAAGCTTCTTTGTTGCTGCTTCGGCTCGAACACTGGGAAAACTGAAAATCTGATGGAGCTGCCGTGCGAATGTGTCCCAGTCGGGAAGATCTTGGAGGTGGTTTCAAAACCAGGTTTTGGCAACATCAGTTAGGTAGAAAGGGACCGTACGCAACTTGTGTAGAGTATCCCACCTGTTCAACTCGCTGACGAGGTCGTAGGTGTGTAGCCATTCTTCAACGTCATCCCCTTTGAGACCTGAGAATACTGGCGGATCATGCTGGTGGCTGTGGATGGCCAGGGTTGACGGCGGAGGCTGCACTGGGCTGGTGGTGTTGCATGGACCAGGATTGTCTTGCACTGCCATGGCAGGTGGTAGTAGACGACGACCCGAGCGAAGCTCCAGTGGTAACGTGCGAGAGGACTTGGGCATCGAGAAGCACCGTCCACCACTTATGAGGAAGAGCTTTATTCAAGGCGAGCTCGAGCTGGCACACACACTGATGATGATATCTACAGATGAGGAAATTATACAAATGATGACACGTCCAATTGATAAAGAAGAGCCGGTGACTGCACTCACACTATATATATATATATATATATATATATATATATATATATATATATATATATATATATATATATATATATATATATATATATATATATATATATATATATATATATATAGATGGTCGGTCAAGTGACTACCACGTTTTAATGTTTACACATCGCAAGACCATGGCTGCTGTAAGGCAGTCGAGTACACGTGCCTTCGTTTCAGTGAGCACAGGTGCCAATTTGTCGATGATACGTAGTAGAACAAATAAACAGTAATCGATGACAGAACCGCATGACGGTGGAGACTGCCAGAAGACAAGCGCGTTGAAGTGCTATTGGGATTCACCAGTGCCTGTAGAGAGGGTAATATGAAAATACTGAATGGATGGTTTTATTGTCAATAGACACATAAACCAAAAGTTGGGCGCACAAGATGGAGGCAGAGCAAAACAACAATAACAAATATTGTGAAAAGTAAACAGAGACAATTATAGCTGATCGTGTATGCCTTTTTTTTTTTTCCTTTCGCAGCTCTTTTCAAAACGACCCTCCTCACAATCTCCCGGCTAGAGGCTCTCAACCTGTGTGTTGGCTGCCAGTATATACTTTTATCAAATATAAAATCTTGTCGTCCACCAGCTGCTTTTCAGCACCTTTTTGCCTTGGCATGTTTTGCAGATGTAAGTTTGTGTCTGTGTGCCGTTCCGCAAATGATCACAGACAGCTGAACTTCTTCACTGGAAGGGGTGCTCGAGCTGTTTTACGAAAACGAACATCAGTTCCACATGGCCTTGCGGGAGATGCACGACACCACAACGCGACAGCGTTCGGAAATAACCGGAACTAATGACAAAGGTACCAAGGGCTTCAAGGCAGGCATTAGAAGAAAACTAGAGATAAGCCGGGAATTAGAAAAAAAAAAAAAAAACTAGAGATAAAAGAAAATGGGAAGGTGGTGTCAAAACTCATGGATGCGACAACATTTGCAGTCAGCAGCTGTGGGGTAGGGAACGTAAACATATTCTTGTCGGCCGCGGAACGGGGCACCTTTTGTGTGTGTGAGCGAGTGTCGCCAACTAATATCCACTCACTCGTATATTCTCCCTGAAAATTATCGCCTACCTGGCTGTGAAGCAATTTTCAACTGGTTTTTACGCATGAGTGTAAAGAAGTAAAAGATTTTAAAAATTGCCAGGATCAGCGCTAAATTGAGAATAAGCAAAATATTTTCATGCAATTTGTTCCGATTATGTGTCCACTGTTGAATGTAAGGTTCAATAAGCTGCATTATCATTAAGAATGTCATGACGGAAATAGACAAAAACATTCGAAAGCGCTGGAACGCAAACAGTTGTGTTCGCATTTCGAGCCTTTCATCACTCTTTTCGTCTCACAGTTTTCATAATATTCACTTCATAACTGCTCGCTCAGTTGCCAGCACTGAAGTTACAGTCACTGAAATTTCAAATAGGCTCGAGTTCACTGTTATGAGATTGCACACATGCTAAGTATATTTGATGGTTGTCGCATCTGATACTGTATTCAATGAATACTAAGATGTGTTTGGAGGAAGTAAAAAGTCGATCTTATTTTGTGTTGAATGAGCAGTGGCAACTGTAATTGCTCAGGTTGCTTATCCTAAACGAAATGATTAAATCTGAAGCAATGTTTTCCGAAGCGACATATTCACATTTACTCTAATGAAATTCAATGCATTGGTAAAGGTGTAGCTCTTCCAAATCAGTTAGTTGTGATCTTGTAGGATCCGAGTAAATTGAGCTCACAATTCTTACTTCCGCGATACCTGATTAGGGTGCAAGGCTCCATGTATCTCGGGCAAGACAATAACGAAAATTAGCAAGAGTTGCAGCTATGTAAAAGCAAGATCGGTAATTACCTGGTGGGCACATGCTAGACGGATATTAAAAGATTTCGCGGGTCGCACACAGATGCACGCGCTCAAATGTAACGACCACAAGCGGGGCGCGCATGCGATTCTGTGGGCGCTCACGAAAACTGCCCCCCCCCCCCCCTCCCTTCCTCCGTGGCGCTGCAGCGGTAGTTTGGGAACTAGACCTGTCACGGCGGTTTTAGAGCACGCGGCGGGCCGTACCCGTGCGCTCTTTCATCCAGTGGCCGTGGTATGCTCGTACCCACAATATGCATAATAATCTGTAATTTGCCTTTTGACTCTCTTGTGATAGGTCTAATAAGAATTCAGTTGCCACTTCAGTGGTAATTTCTTCTCTTCGTTGTTATCATAGCCGTGGTGCTGCACAAATTGTCAAGTCCCACAAAAATTTTAATGGAGCTAGCAATGTAATGCTTACTCCAGCATTAGACATTTGAGCCTTCCTGAATCAAGACCATCGGCAAGCAGTGAACCTACAGGGAAATCGAGAAGCCTGATTTTTTGTTGCCATAGGAGGAATCGACTTCGGCTAACAGGGTCTTCCCCATATTTGCTTGCTTTCCGAACTATTGTTCAAAGAAATACCCTCACACTTCTGTCTCCTTGTGTGTTTTATCATCTGCCAACACATCTGTCAATTGATTGAAAAATGTTCAAACCTCGCCTTGTCATGAACTCCTCATTTGTGGTTGTTATTATGGCTATTGGGGTGGTCTGGTGGCACAAATCACACTGGGGACCATAGAATGCAGAGTTCATCAATATTCTGACAATTACTCATGTACATGTTGTGCGTGCAGGCAGTTGCGGCTGCTTCCAGCCAACAAGACAAGGGTTTCGAAAATGCGAAAAGATGCCCAGGTGGCAGCCGAGCGAAGAGCCCTTGCTGTGAGTTGTCGTCTAAGTTGCATTTGTTTGTTCAAAAGTGTTAGGTCAGGTTCGTGCTCTTCATTCAGTATAAACGGTTATAGATAACTCTGACTTAGTTTTTTTCCTTCGTTTCTTGCAATGTGAGAGCTTAGTATATTTTCTCAAGTATTGTAATTTTGTGCTACAGATGACTATGGAACCAATCGAGATGGCAAGTATTTGACTGCATGGCTATTTCACAACTGAGAGATTAATTTATCCATAGATCTTTCCCACGTCTAGTATGATCTGCTCTGTTAACAGCCCACTTTTCACGAGGACTTTCACATGGGGTGTGTAGTAGCAAAGATTAGGTTTGTTGGTGATACTTCGTAGTTTACTTGAAAGAAGTGGTGCAGTACAACAAATGACAAAAGGGCACAGTGCTCTGCCCTCATTCTTGTGTTGTCCTCCTTTATTTCTTTGTGCTGAGGCAGAAGACATGCAGTACCATGTCGCCTACGATTGAATAAGAGAAAGGCAAATTGTTTTTCTTTTCTGGGGTTTTCTTTTTTTGGTTTTGTTTGACAGATTATTAAAGTAGTAAAGGTATGGTGCACTAATTGCTGTGTTCGAGCTGTAGGGTAGAAATAATTATGAATTTAAAAGAATTAAAGTAGTCAAAAATTATTCTCTCAATCGGTGGGATCTGAATCCCCATCCTTCGAGTTAGGCGTCCATTGCTCCATAATTGTGGCTACGACAGAACAGTGCATCTCCATCCATTTTGTTGGGTATTTATGTACAGTTAACCATGGGTATATTTCCGGAAAAATTCGTTATAAGGAGGATTTTGTTATATGCAGGTTTGGTGCAAGAATTAAAAAACACACAAAATTTAACAAAAGGGGAACTGAAGGCAAAGCTATCCCAGAACACTTATTCAGCGGCAAAAAACAGCGTTATTGCGATAGCAATTATATGGAACACATTCGGCCTGTTTTTGCCATAGCCTCCATGTTTCGTAACAAGTTAGAATTAATAACATGCCCCCGTGCATTGTAACTTTTATGAGCGGATAAAAGCGCGCGAGCACTGTTGAAGCAGAGATCAAATGAGCTGGCCCATCTCTATTGCCTGGAGGACGCGTACGAAAACATTCCCCTGTGTGTTAGAACTGCTGTCAAATGCAAACAGAAAGGAAACCAACGGTCTTGAACAAGCATGAAAAAAAATTGATGGGGGGGCGTCACTTGAGTAGAAATGGGGAACTTGGATTTTAAGAACGCGGTTGTGATCACGGGTGCTTGTTGTCTTGGCAGCATCAGTGAGCTTTCAACACGAAGAGACGTGAAAAAAGCACTTCTTCCTGGAGTGGCTGTATTTGCTTACACCAGCGTTTTGTAGGAGTTTTGCAATATAAAATTCAAGAGTTGACTGCCAGCCTTACATTCTATAGCATTGCAATATATTGTTGCGGTTCATTGTGAAGAAAAGACAGGTACATCTTAAGACAGCGAAAGCAGCGTGTTTTCAACGGCTGAGCCGCAAGATCGCCTTCTGCATTCTCAAGTAAAGCCAGAGGTCCACTACCTGGTGTCCGCTAAATCCCCCATCGTCGTTTTCATCCACATGTCGACACGCGTCAATATGTTACTTTAGCATTCAGTGCATTGTATTCAATGCGCTGTCGTGTTGTTGCCAGAGCTAATCGGCTAATGGCGAAGACTATGGTCCCACAAGCTCTCGGCGCAAGATGAAAGCGCGTGACGAGTCGACCTCCGCAGATCCGTCGTTGTCACCGCGGTCTTGAAGAGTTTACATCAGCGCTCAATTTAAGGAATAAAACAAAAACAAAGCTGAACTAACGTCATCGGGGCCCACACTATGCCGGCACAGTGAAACCATGCATGTGCGCACGACGTCGAAAACGAAGAGCCAACCACACGAATACTAATGTGGCGTCCATGTGCAGCGCGTCCCCACACGTGTGACGCTACCTTAAAGCGTGGCACACTGCCAACGCAAAAGTAGTTTTCTTATTTTTTTTTTCAGAGGGAAAGGGAGGGCACATCTATGAATGCCTCAGCGGCGGCAAGAACGGCCGCAATGCCAGCTCGTGGTGCACAGGCTCACCTGCCCGCCTTGCGCATACCCGAACGCAATAACGAGCGCTTACTCTTGCCTGGGAGTCGTCGGGGCCACGACTGCGCCGGCACAAAATGTCTAGTTTGTCCATGGCAAAAATTCGTTATATCAACGATCTCTCCTGCTTGTACTTCATTACATAGAGGTTGCAAATACATGTGCTTCTGTGGAGTAACTATGGGGAATCGAAAAACTTCATTATATTAAGGAAATCGCTATATGGATGTTCATTATAAGCAAGTTTAATTGTATACGTAATCTTTGGTCATGTTAGCCAGCATCTTTATTATAGCTTAATCGGTAAAGCATTGGATGTGTAATTCGAAGGTTTAAATCCTGCTTAGAGAAAGGGTGATTTCTCATCCATTTTAATTCCTCCCAACTTGCTTAATAATTAATGCACTACACCTAAGACAACAATTTATGTGCCCTGTGCTTTCTTTGGTCTAAGTCTGCTGGTTTCATTTGGTCAACGAGCCAACCAGTCTCTTTAGTTTTGGTGATGCACCTTTCAGACGACGAAAACATATTGAATGCATCAAGAAAGAGATCACAGTGAGCTCTGAGCAATCCCCCTTCATGCTTATAAACTTTTTACACCTTAAAAAAATGTTTTCCTTATCTAAAAGGGTGTAATAAAGGTGCATTCAATTGTGGTGTGGCCTGAAGATTTTGCCATGGCGATCTAGTGGTGACGGTACTAAACTGCTGACCTGAAGTCGCAAGATCAAATCTGGCCTGCTGCCACCGCGTTTTGATGGAGGCAAAATGCTGGAAGCCGATGTACTTAGATTTAGGTGTATGGCAAAGAACCTCACACCGTCAAAATCTCTGGAGCTCCCCAGTACTGGTGTCTTTCACAGTCGTATTATGGTTTTGGGACTTGAAACTCGTACAGAGGGAATTGGACGGTGATGAAGAGTCGTCGGACATGGAGGCGGACGTGACCCCAGCGACCCCTCCTCCTTCTCCTCGTCGGTCGGTGGACCATATAGACGACCTGCCGGACGACGCCCTGCTTTTGGTGCTTGCCTGGCTTGACATCAAGTCACGCATCCGCATTGAGAGAGGTGCTGTAATTTTCTCATTCAAAGTTGCCCACACACACAAATATGCGATTATATTTTTACGTTTTGTAAGTGCATTCAGCTCTTAGTTATATACACTAAAACCTCATTATAACAAAGTTGTATCTTACAATGAAGATAAGTTTGTTATATCTGGAAAATTATTATAAAGGTTATCTTTTGCACTGTATCTACTGCAAGAATGCTTTCATTTACTTCGTCATAACTGATGCTTCGTTACATCCTTGTTCTTTATATTGAGGTTTGAGTGTAGTTCTAGCATGTTGTACCAAGACTTGTTTTCGTAAGATTTCTCTTGTAATCTTGAGATAGTCTTGGGCTTGTTTTATTTGTTTTTGCAATTTTTTCTGGATTTACTTATAACTGAGGCATGTTAATTGTGTGTTATCATTGTTACACATAAAATTTAATCTACTACAGGGCCATTTTAGCTTTGACTGATTGCTTGGAGTTTGCTCATTTTACTGAAATGCTGTGAAAATGGTGAGGTCACTGTCCTGTGTTAACTTGTTGGCGAAGTAATCTTCATTATTTCTTTCTTATTCACATTAATTTTCTTTTCCATGATATGGTCCACCAGGGTATTTCTTCCTGTATTAACACCCATGAAACCTATTGTGATTCAGTGACATGGGTTCTATATTTTTCTTGTTCTATAATGTGGTACTTTGTAACCGTGTAATCTTATGAACACTTGTCATTCTATTTGCGTTTGAGGGCCCCATACACATTTATTTATGTACAGTCACATGGCGTAATGTAGATTAAGTTACATGACTTAATCTAGGACTATTGCTACAAAATCCTTGTCTATTGAATAAAGCTATAGTCTTGTACACAATTGCCTCACAACACTTAGGAAATGACCAATCACATAGTCACTGAAAACATACTAGTAAACTAAGAATTATCTGTAGCATCAGTAAAGACTGAATTGCCAGAGTAATATGAGCCCCAAAAGAAAAGACGCAACTTTTTACTTGAAGCTTGAAGTTTCTTTTACAAAGAATGAAGGGGCCTGTTGGTGTTTCTGTGTGTTTTTTTTTCATGCACCAATTTTTTCTTCTCAATTCACTCATCCGCCTGTCCTGCTTGCAGTTTGCCAGCGCTGGCGGCGACTGGCACTCCGTCTCTGGAGGTCTCAGGACAAGCTGTCTTTCTCGGGCGTTTTCTCGGTTCGCGACGGAAGGAGTGAGTTGGCCGTGTTTACTTCGACTTGGAGATTGCTGTGAAAGGCATCTGGACTACACTTTTGGGTTATGTCATGCTTGGTTTCTGCAGTGTTGACCGTGAACATTCTGCGAGCCCTCCTGGTTCGCTGCGGTGAGTCCTTGCGTAGCCTGGACCTGGCCTCTGCTTCACACGCCCTCGACTACAAGGCAGCTGAGGCTATCAGTAAGTGTGTCCTTTCAGGTGCCGCCAATGCGACGAAAATTTTGCAAGTATATTTTGAGATTTCTTATGTCTTGCGTGGAGATTATGCACAAAATTTAAAAATGGAACTTCAACCTTGATTTCCTTCACTAATAATGTGAAGCCTATGGTATTAGAGGTCTCAGAGTGCAGCTTGTAAATCTGAACCAAGTCATTGCTCCTCTTTAGTGTCCCTTTAAGCATCATTCTATCTAGCCAGTATTTTGCACATTGGCAGAAAGTGAACGATAAGGTGTTGCTTTCCATTCATCTGAGACTGGAGGCACTTCTAGTTTCTACTGTAGTGTACAATTTTAATGAGATTGCTGTAGCTTCCATAGAGCAGTGTATGGCATTGTCATTTGCTGGGCAACCATTGCGGTCCAAACTAGTCCAGATCCTTATTTTCCTGGTACACATCTTTGTTTTTAGCTTCAAGTGAGTGTATGGTGTTCACTGCACATAAAGTCATCAGGCAAATCCTTGTGTGGATTATAATTGAATTCAGGATCAAAATAGAGATTTCTCATTTTGTTCTTGACACAGTCGAGCAAAATCTTGTTACAACGGATCTCAAAGGACCGCTGAAAATTATTCGTTATTTTGAAAGGTTGTTGTAGTGCCAATATTAAAAACCTGCGCATAAGTTGTAAATGCAGCCGCATGGGTTGCCTACCTGTGCCGAGTATACATCTGTGATTGTCTTACGCCCTAATAATTGGCAAAAAAGAAATACGACATGTCATATAACAAGTAAACGTTTATTCGAGGAGGAGCCCAATCTCTTTTTCGTAATGCGGCTTGACTGCTGCAAGACGATTTAAGCACTTCGAAGCATTGGTGTTAGATGCTGATTTTTCACATTGGTTTGGGTGCACTGTCCTTGCTCTTATCGTCCTTGTAATCATTTCGTTGCCATGAGTAATCGTCATGATAACAAAATCGGACATTCGCTAAGCCGACGTGCATACTCTGTCATCACACTGTGCGTAGTGTTCAAATGTTATGAAAGCATGCAAGGATAATCTTCGGTGACTTCATTCCATGGGTCACTTGCATCGTGTCTTTCACTGTTGCCGCACTCCTTTCGTGCTGCTTCCGGAGCTCCTCGTTAGCCTACAACCACCAATCCAAAGGCGAGAAAAGAGCCGTGTAACAAGGGTGCAGGCAGAGCTGCCCGACAAAACAAAGGCAATGCGGCATAACATGACGCAAAAAACAGGTACAGGCAGTGAGGATGGCGGTAGGGCTATTGCACATTTGAATAGGGCAGGTGCCTAGAGAAATATGTGGATGTTCTCATGATGAAGACAGTGGCATCTATAGAGCACCGCATTGTTTCCACAGCTGTGAATGGCTTTTTAAGATTGCTATTCGTTATTTTGATGTGTTGTGGAGGTATTAAGGTGATAAAATTCGATTCTGAAACGTTCAATATTCAGAAGTTTGTAGTAAAAAATATTTTTGCATTAAACTATTGGAAATTTAAAGAAGTTAATAATCTAAATTAATTGTTGATCTGTGGTTCGCTCTAACGAGGTTTGACTGTACGTAGGTATAGCTCGTTAGTCATGAAAAGAAGTGCAGTATGGTTTTGGTTAAGTGTGTCGCTCACCCATGCAGGCATGCTTTGTCCCAACCTGGAGTACCTGGATGCGTCTGGTGTGCACCTGACCAATGTGTCTGTCCAGCAGCTCGCCCAAAAGTGCCCTAAGCTTAAGGTGGGGTCCAACATTGAATAGTGCAGCATGAAGGTTATTTTTTTAACTGCCACTTTGTAAACACACCTGAGGTCAGGTTTGCTTGGACTGCATTATGGCTAGAATTTGATAGCTTTCGTTTTTTTTTTAGATGCAAAAGCAGCTTAGGGTCGAGCTCAATCCAGTGTGCGGCGTGTCCGTTATTGCGCGTGCGTGTCCGCTCCCCCTCTCTTTCCTCTCCTACGCTCCCCCTCTGTTGCCTCGCAACTCCGATATTAACCTATGCTCGCTCTTCCCTCTCTCTCCTCTAAACATTCCTCCTCGTGGCATGGCATTTGCACCCCCACTGCGCATGAAGTCAAAATATTCAATACCGACGGAATATTCAACCCATGAATATTTTGTCGGTGTTGGATTTGAGTAAACCAAGGTGATTTTTTTTTTTCTAGCGGGGGTCGAAGAGTCATCATAAGGTGCGAGGTGGGCTTTACAATTGCATCGTATGACAGCGGGTTTTAATTGATTATTGCTATGAGGGTTTTGTCAGGGCTAAGCCAATTCGTCATGAATTGCGATGGTCGTTGCAAAGATGGGGGACGTGTAATCAAGGCTCCACAGTAATTTATGTCTGTGTTCACGACATGAAGGTTTTATGTTTTTTTATGATAGCTTATATCTCTGGTTCACTGGTAGTCCTGCCTGTCGTCATAGCTGTGGTTGTACTAGATATCTTTTGTGAGAATGCAGTACAGTCAACGGTCAAATTTCCTGGACCCTCAGGGGATCGTGAAAATGTCTGGAAAATCGGGCAGTCCAGAAAAACAAATGCAAGCGGAAACACACTTTTTTAATAGGTATTTTTTCGCTGACTTAAATGGTCATGGCAGGAGTACAGGATTCTCATTGCAATTCAGTAAATGAATCATTTAGGTGCTTCGAAAAGAGCCATTTATATCAAAACAATAACGAAAGAGAAGAAAGATATCCGATGTGGCCGGCGCTACCACACTTGTAAACACTTAGGCGCAAAAAAAGAAGTTGCTTATTTTTATTGACACGGCGTTCCAGGTCTGCCTTAATTTCAGCTGAGGTCATGCTGCCGCTGTACACCAATGACAGTGTAAGGGCTCGCGTCAACTGCGATCTCGTTGGTTGTGCAAGCGCTGCCTCTTCGATCTCGGTGTCAGAGTAATCAGAATCCTCTGTAACTTGACGAATGATTTTGTCATCGGTCAATTCGGGACACAGCTCGAGGTCTTGTCAACGTCGGCAAAGCCCTCAAAGATTATCTCGGCTGGAATCGAAACACCGGCAGCATGCAGATTGTCGAAGGCAACGTCCGCGGGTGGAAGTTCGTCGCACACATTCTCCACTCCAGACAAGGCGGCCGTCTTGGCGTCCAGTATGAAGCTCTTGTGGCGAAAACAGTTTCGGAGGGTATGTTGCGTAACCGCCTTCCACGAGTCTGCAACTAGCCGACGGCAGACCATAAGTAAACAGCATACAGCATAGCTTTTCACGCTGTTGGCGCACAGGCTGCACAGCATCATGCAGCTGTGGCCGTTTTTGCCACAGTCACACGTTTGACTAAGCTATGGATGGCAACGGATTGCTGGCGCTCGATCGTGGCATGTGCGGTTTCGAGGATACCCCAGTTGTGGCGCAGTGGGTTTGAGGGTACGAAAACAATCAAAATGGCGGCGCCGATAGCGACTTCGAATCTGCAGTCAGCGGTAAAAGGTCGGGAATTTCGCATTTTTTTAACACACTTACCCTATGGGGAACCCAATAGTGCCACTGATGAGTCCGGGAGATCAGGCATGTCTGGAATTTCAGAGGTCCGCGAAATCTGACGTCGACGGTATATACGAACTCATTCAGAATTAAGGATTCGTAACTGTAAAAATTTATGCTGCAATTTGTTTGTCTTGCTTGTCATTGCATTGCTACGAGGGCGGTTGAACTAATGAATTGCCTTGTCTTTGGGGACTTTTCTTTTTTTCAGACGGTGTTGCTGAATAGGTGTAGGGATGTTGGCGAGAAAGGGTGAGTCTTTTAGTACACCTCGTCAATAATCACCTCTTGCATCATGCTGCATGCTCACCCCTGTTGTTTTTATTGTTTTGAAAACAGTTCTGAAAATGGGTACACTAGCTCTCGTATATCTTGACATGTTTATATTAATTTTCTTTACCGTACTTACTCAAATCTAGGCCGACCCCTCAAAATCCGAAGCCCCCCCCCAAAAAAAACTTACCTCGCATGTAGGCCGAACAAAACAGCGATGACAGCGTTCGCATAGAAAAAACATTTATTGAACATGAAGATGAACCAAAGCCGTGGTTCATGATACGAATAACTCGAGAAACGCACAGCCGCCAGTCCCGTTGTGTTTATTTGTCATCATTCTTTTTTTTTTTTTTGCTCTGCTTCTAGTTATTTTCATCATAATAATGCTGCGCTTGCAATGCCGCGCTCATTCCAAGTAGTTGTTGCGCCTTCCTCTTTGCCGCCTTCTTTGTTGCTGTCTTCAAACAGTACGCAATCCTCGGTGCCATCAAGCGCATTGGATATGCTTCACTTCTTAAAAAAGCGCACAAAGTTCCTGGAATGTCATCCACACTGTAGCCACTTCAGTGAAGCTCATTCTTTTCGTCCACTCCAAAGCCCCGCCCGGCTTGAACGTTGCACAACTCTGTGGCACTATAATGACACCGCCTGTACGACGCCATTGAGCCACGCTGCACACAGACCTACTTGATGTGCAACTCGCCTCAACAGTCACCACAGCGATTAATGGCGGCCTCACGTGTGTGTTGTTTTGGTTACAATAACGTCTTGGTGGTGCTAGTGGTGCACCACTTCACTGAATGAGAAATGGTGTGTTTTTCAAAATCCGCTAATCTAAGCTGACTCTGGAGTTTGATGCAATGAAATTTGAGAAAAAAAGAAAAAAAAACTATCGGCCTGGATTCGAATAAATGCGGTATATAAACATTGGATGCTATTTTTGGGTGTAGTGTGTATACATCTTCATGCATAACTTATTACTGCATTCAGCTATTAAACAGGGTAATTAAAGTACTTCTTTTTTTTCAGTCTTTGGTGGCTTCTTCATCTGTGCAAGTATTTAGAACATTTGGACTTGACGGAATTGCACAAGTTATCTGGTCAGGTAGGAAACTCATTCTACTATTTGTTATTCAGGGGCTCTCGAAACTAGGGGTGTGCAAATATTTGAACTTTTGAATATTTTTCGAATAGCATTTGTTATTGGATTCTCACCGGAATTTCATCATTCGAAGGATTTGAACTTGCTGAAGACAAATATAGTCAACATCTGATTAACTGTGCTCCTTTCAGATTTTTTTTATATGCTTCACCCTATCACACTCGAGTTTGGGTGAAGCTGCCTTTCAGACTCTGGTACGGTCGCAAATGCATTGTTTTAAGAGAATGCTGGTTCCAACATGGAAATGGTAAATGCGGCAAAGTAGGGGGTTCAACTAATGCTGTTTTAGCCCTGAAATTTAGGCAGAAAGTCCAAACAATCAAATGCTGAAGATTTTTAGCACCCAAATTGGAAATATTCTTACATGTTGATGAAGGCACATTAGAAACTCTAAATTTAAAGAGAGCGCACCGTTGTCTACAAGATCAGCGACCTCCACAGAAGTTGAAGGAGGGGAGAGGTGGAAGAAATAGCGTTTTTTTTTTTCACAAATAAAATGTTGTTGCACCACCTTGGTTTCCCCAAATCATGTGAATAAATACAATTTGGCCCCCGCATCGCCTAGTTTTGGGTGAAACAGCTAGGGAACATCATCCCTCCAGCATTTCACTAACCTGATCTAAAGAAACACTTCCATGTTTCTATCTCACAAGAATGTGGTTAGGGATTCTCTGCAACCTTTGCTGTAGGTTCACTGCGAACTAAAAATATTGAACAAGTATACGACAACTATTTGAAACATTAGATTTGCAGTCAGACAATAATATTCGAATCCGCTTTGCACCCAGAATTTTGCTATTTGCACAACTCTACCCACAATTACGATAGTTATAGCGCGAGAACAAAACGACGACACAGAGACAAGAAGGACACGAAAGACACGAGCGCTACGATAGTTATAGCGCGAGAACAAAACGACGACACAGAGACAAGAAGGACACGAAAGACACGAGCGCTCTGTGTCGTCGTTTTGTTCTCGCGCTATAACTATCGTAATGCCATACCAACTAGCCCAAGCTGCCACACTTCTACCCACAATGTTTTTTCTTTTTAACGTTTAAATTGCAATAAGCAGTGCTTCAGAAAGTTAGAGATGTGCATCCTCGAATTCCTAAAATGCTGATTGATTAACTTTGCTGATTAGATGAGATCAAAGGCTTCAAAAAAAAAGTTACAACTGCGAACTCAGCAAGTTTATTCCCAAACTTTTGTACACTAGGATGTACACTCGAACCCAATTATGATGATACCGGTTTTAACAATATATCGGTTATAACAATGAGAAAATGCTGCACCATCAACCTTTGTACGTGTTATATGGAGAAATATGCATGTGCAACGATGCCCGCACGCCAAATTATCAGTTGTAACAAAGAATTGTAGCTGCTGGGTGTCTTTGCCAAAGGGTAATGGGACATGAAATCCTTGAAAAAGATAAAGTGAAGCCGCTGAACCTTTGCCCACAACCGGGCGCTCAAACAGTACGACTTATATGGTTGTCTTCTTGGTATTCCCAATGTTCACAGACTGTCGTGCCGCATAGCAGAATTCAGGAGTGTCCTCTCAAGGATGATCAATAGGCAGGCACTCCCAATGCTGCCGTGTTCGGCGGTGGTAGTCGCAGTGTTAACACATTAAAAAGAAACGGATACAAACCACTTTGTATTTTTCGTGCATCAGTTAATATACCGGACCGTCCTTCACACCATAAATCTGATACGTTCTTGCGATACGTGAAGTTTTCGTAAAAACACATGGCAACTCGCGCTTTCGATTATAGCTCGCAGAGTACACATATCAGCTTTGCGAGATTTTCTGCAGCCACTTTGGACATATGTTAATGTTAATGTCTCAATGTTAATGTCTGACCATTTCAGTTAAAACACGCTCTGTTTTACGTGTGTATAGCATTCATGAGTGCTTTTGTAGTGTATGAATCTCATAACATTCATTCTATGCGGAAAGTAGTGCAAGCTCGTGATTTGCGCTTCCAAACGTTGGCCTACGCTGTGCCGCTTGTTTTTTACATTTGTTGATAGATGGCATCACACTGCAAGCGATTCTTTTCTTGCCGGGTATCGTAGCGAAATGATCTCCGCACCCCCAGATAAACGTTGTAAGTGACGCCGTGTGGGTGTTGTGCGTGTTGAATGACGGGTTGTTGGTGCTATCGAAGTCGTGTGACGGAGAGAATTCCTCAGATTACTTTCAGCAGTGATGTTCAAAGAAATCGTCTTGACGTCGAGGATTTGTCACTGGACGTAGATGGTTGTCAACGCACTGAGAGTGACAGCGACGATGAACGATCAGCTGCTAGCTCACAAGCAGAGAGTTGCACTTCACGTCCCTTCGTGCATTATAGTTTTTTCACGCCCGTAAGTCACCTTGATTGTATTAGTTATATAATATCCTTCAGCAAGCTCAAAATAATAGCATACTTTTCCTTGTGCATTGAATGTGTCCCAATTACAGTCGATAATACAAAGCGCCGCATGCCGCCAACAAGCTCGAGCTCGACCAGCGAAGCGAAATGGTCAGAGCAATGAAATATGCAGTTATAGCTACAGTCCACATTAACTTTTCCTGCACTTCACTGGTGCTGTTCGCGCGACGTTGTTGTTCGACAAATTTTCGCAATTTTTACGTTGTGAAAAATGTACGCATGTATTCGTTTCGGTATGCTTGTTTCGATCGCACTGATGAAAGGTGCAACATCTAAGTACAGCGAATTGCGCACCGTTAAGAGTCTCATCATGGCTGTGACACAAGTGCTCCTTAAGGGGAGATGCTACTCGAAGACACTTTTTCTTTAATATTCATCCTAAAGAAATTAAACTTGAGCTGTTTATGGAACTTTTTATGCTGATTTCAAATATATTGTTATGGCGTTTATTAGCCGGCACACAGCGAGTACACACAATGGCGACAGTAGCGGCCAAGCAGGAAACTCACCGCGCGAGCGGCGTTCTTTTTGGGTAGACCCACTAGAAAGCACTTGAGAGTTCGACCCGTTTCAGTGTTCGGCAACTTCTCTACAATTACCCCGGGGTCGAAGAGGGAGCCGCCTGGCGACCTAACAGCTTGTCACTACGAGCGGGTCATAGTAAGCCTTCAGGCGCTTCACGTTGACTATGTCGCGCCCGCGACGGTGCATGTCCGAAGATGGTTCAATTGGCTCGATAAGACAGTTGACTGGAGATGTGCGCTTGATCACACGGTAGGGACCTTCATATTTGGAAGTAGTTTGGAAGAAAGGCCAGCTACAGAGGTCGGGATTGAGAGCCATACAAGGGAACGGGGAAGGAAGGTGGGCTCAGAAGTGACGGAGCCATCACAAATACTCTTCTGCCGCTCTTGCTCATGCGTCGTAAAAGTCTTGGCAAGCTCGCGACACTTTTCAGCAAGCCTCGCGGTCTCGGAAATAGGTGTACACTTAGATGGATCCGGCGTGTACGGCAGTATTGTGTCGATGGTGTGTGACGGGTGCCTTCCGTACAGCAAGAAGAAAGGTGAAAAACCGGTCATGCTCTGAGGGGTAGTGTTGTAGGCGTAGGTGACGAAGGGCAGTATAGTATCCCAATTCGTGTGGTTGGCGGCGACGTACATCGACAGCATGTCGCCGAGGGTGCGGTTAAAGCGTTCGGTCAGACCATTCGTCTGCGGGTGGTAAGCAGTAGTTTTGCGGCCTGAGGGATCCTTCAATGATGACAGCCAGCATAGTGCATGATGGTCGGGGACAACATCGAATGGGCGACCATACAAATAAGGTCGAAACTTTGTAAGGGCCCAGACGATCGCCAGGCACTCTTTTTCCGTGACGGTGTAGTTTGTCTCGGCTCTCGTGAGCGTACGGCTTGCATATGCCACGACATAATCAGGGAACACGGGTTAGCGCTGCGCCAGGACAGCGCCGAGGCCTAAACCACTGGCCTTCGTGTGCGCCTCCGTTGGGGCCGTAGGGTTGTAGTGGCGGAGAATGGGAGAAGACGTCAACAAATGGCGGAGCTTCAAGAACGCGTCGTCGCACTCTGACGACCACGAATTGAGGGGCCCGTTACTTCCAAGGGACTTCGTCAGCGGTGATATAATCGTGGCAAAGTTTCGTATGAAGCATTGGAAGTATGAGCATAGGCCCACGAAACTACGCAGTTCTTTGACGGACACAGGTTTTGGGAATTCCGCCATGGCCCGAAGCTTGGCTGGGCCAGGAAGAATGCCATCCTTAGACACGACGTACCCTAGGATGGTGAGTTGGCGTGCTGCAAAGCGGCACTTCTTCAGATTTAGTTGCAAGCCGGCATTGCTCACACGTGCAAAAACTTCTTTTAGACGTTGGAGATGCGTGAAGAAATCTGGAGCGAAGACAACAACGTCGTCGAGGTAACACAAGCACGTGTACCATTTCAAGTTGCGCAGAATGGTGTCCATCATGCGCTCAAAGGTCGCAGGTGCATTACATAGACCAAACGGCATGACGTTAAACTCGTACAAGCCGTCTGGCGTGACGAAGGCGGTCTTTGGTCGAGCGTCGTCAGCCATGGGTACTTGCCAGTACCCCGAGCGCAGATCGAGAGAAGAAAAAAAATCGGCTCCATGAAGGCTGTCAATCGCGTCATCGATGCGTGGCAGTGGATAAACATCCTTGCGAGTGATCTTATTGAGCCGTCTGTAGTCTACACAGAACCGCACAGAACCATCTTTCTTCGCAACAAGGACAACGGGAGACGCCTATGGACTGTCCGACGGCCGAATGACGTCGCTTCGGAGCATATCGTCAACCTTCTCGTTAATTTCCCGGCGTTCAGCAGGCGACACGCGGTATGGACGTTGCCGTAATGGTGGATGGGCACCAGTGTCGATACGATGCGTAACAGTGGACGCGCGACCGAGAAAACTTCGCCTGACATCGAAAAAAGAACGGTTTTCTTGCAACAGGTCTAGAA